GTGTGTGTGTGTGTGTGTGTGTGTGTGTGTGTGTGTGTGTGTGTGTGTGTGAGTGCTGCGTGAAATTTCCTAAGTGTCCAGGCTTTGGGTACACCCTGTAGATTATTAATGGTCATTAATGGTTGCAGTTGTAGTGCAGTTCCCGTGAGGCGAAGTAACGGCACGATTTAATAGTAGATGAGTTGGTGCAGTTGAGGTCAAACTCTTCATTGAGGCGTCAGCAGAATGACACAGCATGTTCATCTCTCTCTCTCTCTCTCTCTCTCTCTCTCTCTCTCTCTCTCTCTCTCTCTCTCTCTCTCTCTCTCTCTCTCTCTCTGTGTGTGTGTGTTTCGCTATCTGTCTCTGTCTTTCTGTCTGTCTATCTGTTTGTCTGTCTGCCTGTCTTTCTGTCTGTCTGTCTGTCTGTCTGTCTGTCTGTCTCTAGTTAGATTAACCGATTACAACGCATGATTTTCTTCCATAATACCTATACCACTCGTTTTTTGGAAAACACCACAGGGAAGATTATTTCCAAAAAAAAAAAAGAACTGTAATTTTATATTTCAAATCTCCTGGCCCCCTTTAAAGCGCACAAAGCTTCAAATAATACGTCTTTGTGCCGACGTGCAGCGATCTAAGGGATGGAATCACAAATCCCGTTTCACTGGAAACGCGTCATCTTTCAGGGTGGAATCCGGGGGGAATTTCAGTCAGAAATGAGGACAGTCTATCTGAAAAGTTAAGTAGAAAAGCCTTTAGAGATCTCTGAATCGCTAACAATCAAGGTATTCTGCGTCGTCTGATCTCACATAAATAATGACGTTGTTTCGTAATAATAATATGAAAGGAGTAGGCTTAGATGAGGATTGATTTCGTTAGTGAGATTTATATTATGATCTTTTTGACTTTTGTATTGATAAAATAACGTCCTACGGATAGGTCTGATGGGCGTGGAGAGTGTAGCATTCTAACGTTTATTGCAACAGCGTGTTAAATCATGTCGATTATCCAAGAATAAACAGTATGTTAAGCAACATTTGAATTATGAATATATAACATAAAGTATTTAAATTAAATTAAGTGTAACGTTGACAGTGTACAGATATTACTTTGGGTCTTACGTTTATGAAATAAACAGGATAGAAATCAAGTGAGTTCTCCATTATAAAAATATTCTATAACATGAAGAATAATGAATAATAATGATGGAGATGACAATGACAATGGCAAACTTGAATCATCTCACAGGGAGAAATTTGTTTTTTGATCGTTTACAATGGCAGTGGAATGTTACAAAGATTAGGTGCACCAAAGCATGCGCACAACAAGACAGGACAGGGCATTAGTAAATACATATTATGTTTTACAAGCTGAAACAACCCACCCCGAAAACCATCCTCTCTCTCTCTCTCTTTCTCTCTCTCTCTCTCTCTCTCTCTCTCTCTCTCTCTCTCTCTCTCTCTCTCTCCCCTCCCCCTCCCTCTCTCTCTATCTCTGTTTCATTTGTAAGACTGTGTTTTCAGTGTGATTGTGATGATGATGCTAATAATAATAATGATAATAATAATAATAATAATAATAATTAATAATAATAATAACAATAATAATAATCAGTCGATGTTTAACGATGAGCAGTTCTAAAGCGAAAAAGAAGAAATAAAGATTAAGATGACTTTTCACTTTTACTTTGGCCAGTGATACCAATAAAGAGACGTGCTTGTAACAATTTGATTTAACACTTGAAGGTGGTACGTATGTGAGTCTGAGAGAAAAGGGAGAAGGTGTAACAAGTCAACTGTGAAATCGGCCTGGAAAATAATAAATCTTGGGGCATGTTTTTTCCTCCTTACCCTGTCTCTGGCTTTGTCCCACTGTGCATCCGTTGTGAGCATTTGAAATCATTACTCTTATTCCAGTTTTAGAAATAAAAGGAGGCACGGTTACTGTGAAGGGGGCTCTCGTGGTCTAGAGGTTTAGGTGTTGGCCTCTCAATCAAAGGTCCCGGGTTCGATTCCGGGTAGCGACCGAAACATTTTCTTCTCTAAAATTGTCTCCTTTCACCTCCTTTCCTGCTCTCTAGCAATGTTCTGTTGTCTGCTTTCGTTTCCACTTTCTGCCCCCACCCCCTCACCTCCTTTGTCCCCTCCTCTGGGCTCCTGAATCTTTCTGCAGCCTTTCTACTGCTACTCCTTGGCTCCTCATTACTGCTGTCTTTCTGCCACACCCCTGATTTTCTGGTAGGAAAGATCTACACCTAGCCTTCTCGGACAAGGGCGAAAAATCTCGGAGGGCCCGTGTGCAAGTTGTGCATGTTAAAGATACCTTAGTGGTCTAAAATCGATAAGAGTAGGCTTCGGCCGCCACCCTGGGAAAAATTCAAAATGTCCTACCAACTGAAAATATTAGGCGTGTCCCGCGCGCTCATATGACCTTATGCAGTTGCGAGCGCCGTAAAACACTTTAAAAAAAAAAAAAAAAGAAAAAAAAAGGAGGCACAGTTACTGTGAGCTGTGTTAAGGACCATGTAAGAAACGTTTTTAATTTCCTGGCTTAACGAGTGAAGGAAACAAAACATTGTTTGTTATTTTTTATCTTTCATAACGGATCTGTTCTACTAAATATGTACACGGAAAAGGGCCGAGGGTAAAATGAAATTTCCTGTGAGATCGGTCTTTAAATAAATAATGGGACATGTCAAACAAGTAACTCTGCTTCTGCCTTTGTCTCCCTGTTGCTCTCCATCTTTCTCTGTCTGTCTGTCTGTCTGTCTGTCTGTCTGTCTGTCTGTCTGTCTGTCTGTCTGTCTGTCTGTCTGTCTCTCTGTCTTCTTTGTTTGTTTGTTTATTTGTTTCTTCCTTTCTATCTCTTTATGTCTGTATATCTCTCTTTCTCTCCCTCTCTCTCTCTCTCTCTCTCTCTCTCTCTCTCTCTCTCTGTGTGTCTTCATTTCTTTTTCTCTGTTTGTCTGTCTTTCTGTCTGCCCATCTGTTTCTACCCCCCCCCACACCCCCACCCTGCCTTGAGGGCAGTCGTTAGAATGCACTCTTCTGTATGAAAAGACACATTATCGATCTCCAAAGGGAGATTGTGAGATTCGATTAACAATGGCACACTTCACACCCACCGTAACGAAATAACAACTTCCGACACGCGATTTCGGGTCGGCGTTATGCGAGCTCAGATTATTTGGACCTCTAAACATAACTAGATTTACCCCCAAACAACTCCCCCCCCCCCCGGTCTTCCGTCTTCACACTCTTCCCACGCAGCACACAGACACCTTTTCCCTTCCGACAAAATGGCGTATGTTAAAAAGAATGAGTGCAAGACAACAAGTGTGCGAAGTTCTTTTTCCTTTTCTTACCCATTTTTCACGCTGTCTTTCAGTTTCCGTCTTTGTTTTG